GGGAAGTTGGGGCTGAAAACCATGAGGTCGCTCTTGCCCGCGCCCTCCGCCACGCACACGCTCCGGCTCTGGCGCTGCGAGTACGACCAGCTCCCCACTTCGCTGGCGCACACCAGCGTCGTCGGAGCGGCACCCGACAGCACGGACGCCCGCGGCGCCCACCGCGACGCCCCGYACAGCACCACGCCCAGCACCAACACGCTCGACACCGCGCAGATCGCCACCACCAGCCACACGTTCGTCGTCGCTGCAGACGCCGACGCGCCGCCCTCCACGCCCGACGCCGCCCGCAACAACGAGCCCGACGGACCCGCGCCCGCCGCCAGCGCCGCCTCCGCGCCCTCGCCCAGCGACACGCTCAGCGTCGCCGTGGCCGAGCGCGCCGGCTCGCCGTGGTCCCGCACCACGATGAGCAGCGTCTGCCGCGGGCCGTCCGCCTCCTCCAGCGCCCGCGCCGTGCTCACCTCGCCGCTGTACAGACCCACGCGGAACGCGCTCTTGCCCCGCGCCTCCTGCAGCTCGTAGCGCAGCCACGCGTTGTAGCCCGAGTCCGCGTCCACCGCGCGGATCTTCGCCACCACCTGCCCCGCCGGGGAACCCCACGACGCCCACGCCCACAGCGACCACTCTGACGACGACTGCGACGGCGGCGACCCCGCCGCGCCGATCGACCAGGGCCCCGCGCCGCCSCCCGCAGGCGGCAGCAGCGACGGCGCGTTGTCGTTCTCGTCCACCACGAAGAGCTGCACCGTGGCGTTGCCGCTCAGCGACGGCTCCCCCGCGTCCACYGCGCGYACCTCGAACTGYAGCACCTGCAGCTCCTCGTAGTCCAACGGCTGCAGCGCCCACACACGACCGCTCTCCGCGTCCACCGACACGTAGCTCGACGCCGACCGCGACCCCGACGCCCACATCGACGCGCCCTCCCACAACGAGTAGCTCACGCGCCCGTTGCCCGCCTCGTCCGGGTCCCGCGCCCACACACGCGCCAGCTCCGCGCCCGCCGCGTTGTTCTCYCGCGCCAGCACCGTGTACACGGCCTGCGCGAACGACGGCGCGTTGTCRTTCACGTCGGACACCGGCACMCGCAGGGCSCGCCTGGCSCGCAGCGGCGGCGTCCCGCCGTCCTCCGCACGCACCTCCACCTCGTACTCCGACACACGCTCCCGGTCCAGCGCCTCACGCAGCACCAGCGAGTACGAGCCCTCGAACGTCGACACCACACCGAACGGMGACGRCGGCCACACCGTGCACCGCACGCGMCCGTTCGACCCCGAGTCACGGTCCGACACGCTCAGCAGCGCCACCACCGTCCCCAGCGCCGCGTCCTCGGCCACCGGCACCGACAGCGACGTCACCCGCACCTCCGGCGCGTTGTCGTTCACGTCCAACACCTTCAACTCCACATGACAGTGACCAGTTAAMGGAGGWGTACCCTTATCTCTTGCCTCTACGCGGACATCGAAAACGTCGGCCTCTTCAAAGTCCAGAGGGGCCCTCAGCGTGATCTCTCCCGTGTTTGAATTCACGCTAATAAGATCTTTTCCATGTTGTGGCAGGAAGTGCGTGGCTTTGTAACTCACTTCGCTGTTAATGCCCTCRTCTGGATCCGTCGCAATCACGCGCGCCACCAGTGTCCCCTCTGCAGCGCTCTCCACTAGCTCCACTTTGTAGACAGTCTGGTTGAACTCGGGCGCGTTGTCGTTCACATCCAGCACCGAGATCACCAGCTCCAT